ATAATCGTTCTTATGTCTATTATTTGGGCAATAAAAATAATAGATCAAAAGCAAGAACTTATATCATTTATAGAAATGGTAAACAAGAGCGGCCCAAGAATGCTACCTTGCGGAACTCCTGACGTTGCAAGATATGGGCAAGAAGTATTTTTGTCAAGTACGACTGAATAACTCCTACCAGATAAGTAGGATTCTATCCATTTTAGAAAAGTAGCGTGAAATCCTAGAAAGTTTAATTTACTAAGCAAAATTTTGTGCGAAACCCTATCAAAAGCCTTGGCAAAGTCGGTGTAAATGTTATCTACTTGGAGGCCTGCTTCGGTTTAGGCCACGAGTTATCTGAGTGTTTATGGCGTTAAGTGCTGTTGTTGTGCTATGCACATTACGGAACCCATGTTGATGCTTCGCTGGGGTCAGGTGGTTCGTAAAGTACGGGAGCAGCAGGGCCTCGAGTGTCTTTGCTACCGGGGAAAGGAGAGTTATCGGGCGATAAGACTCTCCTTTGTTGGCTGGTTTCCCCGGTTTGAGCAGTGGGACCACCCTCCCCATTTTCCGGATGTCTGGAATGACGAGAGTGGCGATAGACAGGTTCAGGACCTCCGTTAGGTACGCTACTCCCGCAGGACCCAAATTTTTCAGCATCAACATGCATATTCCGTCGGGTCCAATGGCATTGGAGGCTTTCGCCTTCCCGATGGCTACCCTTACCTCACCGCTGGTGAAAACAAGAGGCGCACTAGGTTTTGGCATTTTGTGCGGCCTTCTGGTCACTCGACGTTTGGCTTTATCCACCGGAGGATGCAGAATGAACTGCCGGCTAAAAAAGCTCGCGCATCTCTCCGGGTCCGACGAAGCGTGGTCACCAAAGTCTACCTCGACTTTGTCATCGCGCTTCGTCGGGTTGGACGACGACCTCACGGTTGACCAAAGCTTGCTCACACTAGAGGTGAAGTTGCAGGTCTTCAGATGCTCTTCCCATTTCTTCCGCTTATGTACGTTCACAAGTTGCCGAATCTCCGAATTGAGATCCCTAATACGGGGATTTCCGGGATCGGTCTGACGAAGGTTGTCGAGCTCATCAGCTAGAACAGCCGCTTCGGCAGGAAAATTCGGACGTGGATCCTTAATACATCCTGCTGGGATGAAGCGAGCTGCAGCAGCGGTGACTACCCTGCGGAACTTACGTTCACCTACATGAACGTCGGTTGGTATGGGTAGTGCAGTGAAGGCACCCTTCTTTCCAGTCAGCTTTGGAAAAGTTGACATAAGTCCGGTGATCCACGGAAGCAAAGTCGGCAGGTTTATCAATCGAGATGACCTGAACATGCAGACCTGAACATGCCCTAAAGAGGCACCAGCCGAGGCAAGAGTTGCACTTGACTGATGTCACGTTACGGTATATTCTGGACTGACAAACAGCAGATTGTCGGAGGGACTAGGAGATGCCGGCGGCGGTGTGTGGGTGCTATTGTGTTTGTTTGTCTATTGTTGTTTTGTGTTGGGGTGTGGGTGTGTAGATTGTGTGCTGCCCGGGCGGGTGGTGGTTTGCCGTGGAAGCGGTCCAGTGCGCACAGCATGGGGCCACGAACGACGTGGTTTATTGCCGGTGCGTACGCAGGCCCGAGCAGTTACGGAGGTGACTCCACCCATCACAGGCATTGCACCTGACCGAGGTGGAGTTTGTATGCAGTCGTCTCTGGCATACGCAGCAGGTGTAGATTTTTGGTCCTGGGTTTGACTATGCCAGCCCTGAGCAGAAGGGTGCGGAGAAGGTGTAGCCCTAGGATCGAGCAACGTTTGATGGATTTCGCCGACCTAAACGGGGTTAGATCGCCGAAACAACAGCACTTGGTCGGGTAAAACCCGAGTCATTCCGGTACGTAAAACCGGCTGTCGTGGCACAGTTGTTGGCCTCGGTACAGCATACCAAATGGCCGAAAATTTTTAAAATCGGACAATAACCACGCCCACATCCCATATAACGGTAATTTAGAGAAATACAAAATATTCGATAAATTAGTAAATATTAACGCTAATTTATTAAAAATTGATGCTTGCAACAATTCTTTACCAAGAAATACGTTTATGGTAAACTTTTCGAAAATGGGCGTGGCACCGCCCACTTATGATCACATATATGTATCTCGGTAACCGTTCCACCAATTTGTACCAAACTCGGTACGGTTATTGTGCTTGCCACAAAAAACGTTGAAAATTATTGAAATCGGACTAAAATTACGGCCGCTTTTCATATAACGGTAAATTTCAAAAATGCTTGAAACTTCAATATTTCGAAACTTAAGGACGCTAATTTACTCAAAATTTATACACCCCGGCTTATCAAGTAGCGGTAGCGTTCGGAAAGGTGAAAAACATATATTAAATATTTGCGCCGGGTATTTAATGTTCGGCTCCGCCCGAACTTAGACTTTCTTACTTGTTAGAATTAAAGATGTCATTAAAGAAATTTTTATTGATGGAAATTTTGGAAGTAAAATTTTGATCTTCGGAAATAATAGCAATGTTATAAAGTATTGATCTGAATTTATTAAAAACGATATAATAGCTTGATTTTTTTTTTGATTTGAATTTTTGTAAAGACGATTAGAAATATTGCAGTAAGTTGAAGCAGCATAATCCAATTTGGAACGAGCAAAAGATTTATATAACTGTAAAGCTCTTCTAGGATCCATTCCAAATTTGCAACCACTCAAGATATTTAAAAATTTTTGCAAGAGTTGTTTACGTTGATAATTCTTCCCAGATATCTTATGCTGTGAACCTGTTCCAGATGAGTATTATTAAACCGGATATTTAACTGATAATTTTTATTATTAAAATAAATCATTTTGGTTTTTTTGAGAATTTAACTTAAGTTTTAGGTTAGAACGTTCACGTTGAAATATATTAATTTTTTCTTTCAGGACTTGTTTGGCTTGATTTCGAATTTTATGTGTACAAACGATAAAAAAAATCATCCGCAAATTGAAATAATTCACAATTTTCATCCACAATTCCATGTAGTTGAGCAGTATAAATGTTAAATAATTACTTTGTTTATGCCTACGCAAGAACCGCATTAACAAAAAGCTGATTTGACACAAAACATATTCCTTTCAAGCATTTATACCTGTGTCGTTATAGCGCACTTGCTGAAACCGTATTCAAAAGTAAAAAAAAAATGTTATTTTTATTCGATATTTCTTAAATAATTAATTTGCGCTGTGGACCGAAATGGAAGCGAACAATAATTTAAATTTATTATAATTAGGGAGTTCACAAGGTGTTCTATACTGTCGTACTGTTGTATGTTCGCAAGCTAATATAAAAGTTTTATTATGAAATTTCACACAATTAAAAAATAGTTGGTGGTGATTTTAAGTCCTCTAAACTTTTATTTAGCCGTTAAAAACTTTACAACATACAACAATACGACAAGTACGACCCAAATAATAATTCAAATTTAAAACGGGCTGTATAAATATAAAACCAGCCTTTTTTCACTTCGCGCCAAACGAATGATGGGTTTATATCTGTTTTCTAACCGATGGGGGAAATAAAAAAGCGATTTGAAAACAAATTCGAGTCAATACACTTTTGAATTTCTGAGCGTATTGAAAGTTGGTTTATGCTTCCTTTTTGAATCACAGCGCTCTGGTCCAGAGCGCTTTATGTGTTGGTATAAACAAGGTAAAATTCATTTTCAAGGACTTAAACCGCTTCCTTGTGCCAGACCATTACAAGTTGTTACTTTTTGATTTTCTAACATGATATATCTTCGCTCAAGAAAAGAAAATATCCAATTTTTAATCGTAAGCTTTTACAATATCGATGCAAGCAACCATTACTTGTAATTTTCTTCCTTTTCTAACATGAATATCATTTATTAAATCATTAATACGTTGCGCAGAAGATCGGTTTTTCCTGAATCCATATGATCTGTCTGGAAGTAGTTTCTTTTCCGATATGAAATTATCAAAATAAATTTTAATGATCCCTTCTATTGACTTAGCAAGAACGGATAAAAGGCATGTTGGTCTATAATTATAAATGTTAGCAATTTCACATCCTATTTTTTAAATAGGAATGATTTTGACTTCTCGCCAAATTTCAGGTACAATCCCAGAGTTCCAAGTGACTTGTAATGAATTAAATAAATTTCTTTTTTCATCGTCAGCCAATTGCATTATCATTTTATACGAGATATTGTCATTACCCTTTGAAGAGTTAGGATTTCCTGAATGCTAAAAATTTAAGAAATTATCAAAATTAAATTCTTAATTTAAGTTTTGTGTTTTAAAAATGTGATAAATATTTTTCGCCTCACTTTAAAACTCGGAGCGATAAAAATAAAAATGATGCCATTAACACAAACTATTTTACATATCGTCACCTGAAATGCAAAAAGACGTAACCACATCGTAGATGAAATGGAAAAAGTCCTGTCTAATATTTAATTTTTTTTTCATAAAATGTTGTGGGGAGTTGTAATTCGATGAAATCCATCATATAAATCAAAAAGTGAATTTTGAATTTTTTACTAGTTATGACTTTTAGCATTTCATTTGTTACGTCTTTTTGCATTTCAGGTGACGATATACTCCAACGTGGCCGAACATTTGATGAGTTTATGGTGAAGATAATGTAAATAACGCTAGCGCTCGCAGTGATCTTAAAATATATAACTCTTCCAAGCGAGAGAGTATTTTGATGTAGTCACATTATTTTTATAAATAGAACACAAGAAAATATTTTACTTTTATTTTGGCCATTCGTGAGTTTAGTTTTTGAATTCACCCGCGATGCTAATTTACATTGTTAGATCTAATTTTCACATTTAATTTTTTTACGAGCTTTGGGAATGTTTAGAAATGTATCAGCAGGGGGGTCCACCGAAACTAGTAAATTTTTGAAAGGGGTCTACGAGAAAAAAGTTTGGGAACGTCTGATCTAGAACCTTATCGAAATCCTACCTGAAAATCGAAAGTTACCGTTTTTGAAATCGGCACTTGCCACGATTTTGAACTTCACGTATTCTAACTCGGGACCACTCCCCCAAAATAGTCTAATCGGAAATTCCATCGTTCCTAAACCGATTCAGTTGAATCTGGTTGAAGGACATCGCGATTGGCCTCTAGAAAAGCTCTAATGTTTTTTTTTGAACGTAGGCTTCAGTTCTGCACTGCCACTATCAAACGAAAAGATTTGGCGTCTACATGTGCAATAATGTATTATTTTTCTGAGTAGGGTTGCCACCTATTAAAAAGATAAAAGATTTTCGCCGTTCGTTGGATTACAAAACGTGATACCAAATGAAAGGGCCTGGCCTTCGGATGTACAAAAGCTTTAATTTTTTGAATAGGGTTGCCACCTATTTAAAAATTACTATCTTCTATACATAGTATAAAGAGAAGTCTAGATATTTTGACCACGGTAATCTCAAAAATTACTGAACGGATTTATAGGAGATTTTTTAAGTATAATCTGTATCGATAGGAATATTATTTTTAGTACTTCAAATTCCTATAGGGTTGCCACCTGTCTAAAAAATTACTAGATCCGCATTTTTCGTTAGATTACAAGAAGTGAGGTGTCAAATAAAAGGGCTCAGCTATTTACTCAAAAAGTGTTGCCACTTTTTTAAAAATTATAAGATAAAAACTGAGGTACCAAATGAAAGGATATGGTCTCTGCATGTGCTATAAGTTTTTATTTTTTGTTTGAGTGGGGTCGCCACCTATTTAAAAATTATGTATGTATAATACACGAGGGCATTTTCGGTTAATGACATTAGATTTGCACAGTTCATTCGATTTAGGTGTCAAAGGAAAAGGCTTGACCTTCCGATTTGCAGTAAGGTTTTATTTTTCGAAGAGGGTTGCAACCTGTGCGAAAAATTAAAAAATGTGGGCTGTTCGTTAGATTACAAGAAATGAGGTGTCAATTATATATTATTTTTTAGTAGGGTTGCAACATGTTTAGTTGTCAATCGCATCTTATTTAATATCTGCACATTCAGCGCGTGGCGAAGCCTCGCTCATCCGAGGCCGGCTAGTAAGTTACTACAGTAAAAAAGATAAACACTAGTAGTTTTTTATTTTATTTTGGGTGAAAATACACATATGTAGGGTAAAGTGGTCCAAAAATGTATGTAAAAAAAATAAGGTCGGATTTTTAATGCCGCCACCCCCTAGGATTGTTATATACCGAAAAAAATATACCCATATTTTTTTATTTTGAAATAAAAAATTATTTAGGTTGTGCTCAAAGCGCTCAAAGTTTTCCATGTATTTTATGTGGAGAAAAAACATATTTTCGTAGAAATAGTGTAGAATTCTTGAAAATCAATATTTTTCGATCGGAAAACTTTACTTATCTTCAGGAGATTCCCAGTAATAATACTCAATTGTATCTTCAAAATTTTTTTCATGGTAACTATATTTTAGAGGTCCTCCAAAGCCCTTAGAAAATGCATGGGGGGACCAATAAAAAATGGTTAAATAAACAATTCGATATTAATACTGGAAGTCTCCTGAAGAGAACCACAGTTTTCCGGTCGAAAAAAATTGATTTTCAAGAGTTTTATACCATTTCTACGAAAAATTGTTTTTCTCCATATAAAATACATGGCAAACTTTGAGCGCTTTGAGCACTCCCTAAATATTTTTTGATTTCAAAATAAAACAAGTAAGAAAGTCTAAGTTCGGGCGGAGCCGAACATTAAATACCCGGCGCAAGTATTAAATATATGTTTTTTCACCTTTCCGAAACCTACCGCTAGATGGTAAGCCGGGGTGTATCAATGTTGAGTAAATTAACGTCCTTAAATTTCGTAATATTGCAGTTTCAAGCATTTATGAAATTTACCGTTATATGAAAAGCGGCCCCAATTTTAGTCCGATTTCAATAATTTTCAACGTTTTGCTTATATGTGGCAAGCACAATATCCACACCGAGTTTGGTACAAATTGGTAGAACGGTTACCGATATACTTATATGAGATCATAAGTGGGCGGTGCCACGCCCATTTTCCAAAGTTTTACCATAATCGTATTTCTTGGTAAAGAATTGTTGCAAGCATCAATTTTGAATAAATTAGCTTCAATATTTACTGATTTATCGAAGATTTTGTATTTCTCTAAATCACCGTTATATGGGATGTGGGCGTGGTTATTGTCCGATTTTAAAAAGTTTCGGCGATATTTTATGGTGTGCCAAGGCCAACAACTGTGCCAAGTTTGGAAGAAATTGGTGCAGCGGTTACCAAGATATACACATGTAACCATAAGTGGGCGTGGCTACGCCCATTTTCCAAAAATTTATAATATTCTCATTTTTCGTCTAAAACTTATTATAAATATCAATTTTGAGTGAATAATCTCCAGTAGTTACTAAAATATCGCAGTTTTCGTATTTCTGAAAATTACCGTTATATGGGAAGTAGGCGTGGTTATTGAGCGATTTTAAAAATTTTCGGCCATTTGGTATGTTATGCAAAGGCCAAGCACTGTGCCAAGTTTGGAAGAAATTGGTGCAGCGGTTACCAAGATATACACATATAACCATAAGTGGGCGTGGCTACGCCCATTTTCCAAAAATTTATAATATTCTTATTTTTCGTCTAAAAATTATTGTAAATATCAATTTTGAGTGAATTATCTTCAGTAGTTACTAAAATATCGCAGTTTTCGTATTTCTGGAAATTACCGTTATATGGGAAGTGGGCGTGGTTAAAGTCCGATTTCGCCCATTTTCAATACCAACCTACCTTGGATTAAGGGAAACCTACATACCAAATTTCGTTGAGATATCTCAATTTTTGCTCGAGTTATCGTGTACACGGACAGACGGACAGACGGACAGACGGACAGACGGACGGACAGACAGACATGGCTTAATCGATTTCTTTTTTCATCCTGATCATTTATGTATACATTTGTCTATATCTATCTCGATTCGTTTTGGCTGTTACAAACAACCGTTATGTGAACAAAATTAATATACCCTTGTGCACAAGTGCGCTCGGGTATAAAAATAGGGGTATATTTTTTTCCGATATAGATCAATCCTAGGGTGTGCCGGCATTAAAACTCCGACTTTATTTTTTTGGACCACTCTAATGTAGGGCTCGGAATATCATATCATAAACAAGTAAAATATGCAATTAAAATTATTTCCCTAATATTTTATTTCCTGTACAAAAATAAATAACACATGTATTTTAACAAAAAAAGTAACAAAAACAATTCACTTCGAAACACAATACATATTTATGGATAAAATTAGTTTATAAAGAAGCAGTCAGATACAATTGTGTAAATAGACAGTTGAGAAAGGTTGCCAATTCGATTCCACAACTCGTGCAATCTACAGCCATTTGGCGGCTTTAATGAATTTCAGTACGTCATACAGAGAGAGCCAGCTTCACTCTAAAACATTCTGCAGCAATGGCCTGCAGAGTATCTTTAGCCTCATCCTTGCAAAGGCGGGACACTCGCACAGAAAGTGTTCGTCTGTCTCTTTTGAACCAGAGTCATCGCAACTAATACACCAACGGACCAATGCCCTGTTCACACTGCAGTACGTTAGTAGGTATCTTCTTTGCTCATTCTTAAGAGGGCTTTGGTCTAAGTGGGTCGTAGGACACCCAGAACTGCCGGGTAATCCTGTACGGTTGCACCTCTGCTTAGCCTTCGAGTGATAAATTTCGGTAATTGTTGCTTTTATATCCCTGAGCGAAGCCCCCATGTCCACCGCGTGGGACACATTCAGTGTGAAGCTGCACCTTTTAAGTTCGTCCGCTGCCACGTTTCCGTAAATGTCCGTATGTGCCAGGAACCATATTAGGGTAATTTCGTATTGATCAGAGATATAGGCCAGCTCTCTCCTACAGTCTTCCACTAGCTGAGATCTATCAGAGGTAGAAGAGAGTACCTCAGTAGCCACTTGGCTATACGAGAAAATATTCAGATGAATATTAAAGAAAAAAATTATATGGTTTTTTGGCAAGAGATTTCGCACTAAATTTCAATGGTTGTAAATCAACAAAGCAAAAATATGCAAAAACTAAAATATACTAAAATATGCGCAATAAATAAGCAAAAACAGGTATTTTGGAAGGGCTTTAGTATTCAGCCGCACCTTTTGGTTTAAGAAAACCAGGTGGAATTAACAAATGAAACTAGGTCAGGATGTTAGGGGAGGTATCCCCTAAAATATGCATAACTAAAAAATATAAAAAATATAATTCTTTATAAGTTATTTTTTGTTAAAATTTCTTAAGTTATTCCACTTGATTTCCTTATCAAAAAGTGCATTTGTCACATACTTTCATATATACACATACCACTTTACCTAATAGTTTACACACTTTTATTTTATTTTATTTTGTATATAAATCACTTTAATCCAACTTTTATTAACTTGTAAATTACATAAAATTGCACCCACATTTACAATAACACATGGTTGCAAACATAAGATGTGTTGCCATACTGTACAAAACAATACATACAAAGAAGGCCATGCAGAAAAGTGTTCAGCCCCTCTTCTTTGGCAACACAGAAAGGAGAATTCTACGTAGTGAGGGTTATAATCCCTAAGTGCGGCCAAAGGCCGCCTACGCAGAAAGTTTTATCTACAAGAGGCGTTCAGCCCCCCTTCGGCAACGCAGAAAGGAGAATTCTACTTAGTGAGGGTTGTAATCGCTGAGTGCGGCCGAAGGCCGCCTACACAGAAAGGT